ATATTCTGTGAAGCGCTTTGAGACGTTTCGAAGATGTGATAAGGCGCTGTATCAAATGCAAGGATTATTATTATTATTATAAAAACACTTGAGAGGGATCTGTCCCCCTGGGCACAGAATAAATGACTGACTTTTGTCTTGAGTAATTTCAAGGAGCAGATGGTCAGAATCGTTCAGCGTTCCACTTGTCTTAACTAGGCGAGGGTGAAAATTGCAATGTGTTAAATATAACTGACATTGACGAAAATTAATAATGATAATAATAATTATATCGACCGTACTGTTCTTTCATCACAACATCAAGCTGCTTTTTCAATTAATCCTGGCCTCTAGCACCCTTCTTGGCTACTGTTCCAGTGTTTAATTACCCTCTGAATAGAGAAAAACTTCCTGGTGTCTGTCTTGAAATTGCTCTTTGCAACTCTAATCCAATATTCTCTTGTTCTATTGTCTCAGTGCATCCTAATGTACTCTTCAAATTGGTTTACCATTTATGATAACTATCACCAGTGATCATTATCGCGTCACACCTTTCCATTTTCTCTCATGTATTAATAATTTTTATGAGGAACCTGCAAATTCCAAATGGAAAACTCCTCCAGGTAACTGGACAATCAATGGAAATTCTGTTCGTTTCCAACACAATTTGGGAGCAGAGTTCCTTGGGTTCAACCGGAATTTTGTGGGATTCATTGTCAGTTAAGAAATACTGCTCAGTTAAGAAATATCCCGATTTGAAGGGGGTTTGGATGAAAGATCTGTCAATATCAATCGTTTGGGGGACTGACTGAACAGTCTCATCTTATTCCTTAAATGGATATTAAAGATATCTAGAAAATAATATCTCGGATACAGTGTATAGTTCGGAACACGACAAGGCGAACTAGATGGTCTTCTTTCGTCAAGCAAATTCTTATGTTCTTAAATATTCTCTAATGTTAACATTGCCCCAATGTCTGGGCCAAGAAACTTCCTGATAAGTTGGTCATTCAACTCATTCCTTTTCGTGAGTATCAGCTTGGCTCAATCAGTGGCCAACCATCCCCCAGATAAAATTGGTCATTCACTTGATGGCTGTTGGTGGCATATTGCTGTGTGCAAATTGGCTGCCGTGTTTGCCTACAAAATTCACAGTCAATCACCTTACAGTGAATCCTGTGAAGTACTTTGAGATGCCCTCCCAACACGAAAAACACCGTATCAAATGCAAGGATTGTCATTATTATTCTCCCGGTATCCCAGCCGACAATCCCCCGATAAAATCAATCATAGCAAGTTGTGAGATGTCACTAAGCCCAAATTGGCTGCCATGGTTTGTCTACAAAATACAGTCACTACATTTAATATTAATAAGTTAATAATAATAAAAATTGGGTCACTCGATCCACGACGGGACAATGCTGAGTGTAATTAGCTTCCGTGTTTCGCCCACAAAATATGCAGTCAATTGACTTTACAGTATATTCTGTGAAGCGCTTTGAGACGTTCTCAACCACGTGATAAGGCGCTATATCAAATGCAAGGATTATTATTATTTTAGAAACAGAGAGCAGTTTCCAAAATGGACTGTGGGAGATAACAGCTTACGCATTCCTCACAGGAGATAGACAAGCGTGACTGAATCTTCGAATGGTCCTTTCACTACCATTAGGCAGCAGGTGAAATGTTACCTGTCAAGGCAAGTACAGTGTCACGTCTCCTGCACTGAAATGTCACAGCGATGCTGGGAAGGAATCAGACAAGGGTGGCCTGTTGGCATTTAGAAAGAGGATCTTTATGGATTTTATTTCATTCTGTCCCAGATATTGTCTCTGCACCAGAGGCAGGCAGCATTTTGACCATTTAAAACACAAGATGGCCTTGAACCTGCCTGCAGTAGAAGTAAAAATACTCCTGTCCTCTGACAGCTACAAATAAGCAGAGCTTCAGTATTGACCTCAGGTTCCTCTGTTTCAGAGAAAGAGCAGTGATATATAGGTGGAGTCCTGTAGTGTATTGGTTACAGCACTCGCCTCGCAAGCGATTCACAGGCAGGGCGAAACCTAAAGCAAGTTTCCTTACTCCACACGTCTCTGTTTACCCTGCAGCAAGTAGGAACTCTGTTGTTAGTCGATTGGTGGATCTCATTATGGGGATAATGATCACATAAAATAAAATAATAATTTGGTCACTCAATCCACGAGTGTTTGAGGGACACTGCTGTGTGCAATTGGCCGCCCACAAAATATAGTCAATTCACTTTACAGTATATTCTGTGAAGTGCTTTGAGATGTCTCGAAGACGTGATATATATATATATAATAATCTTTGCATTTGATACAGCGCTGCATCATGTCATGGAAATGTCTTAAAGCTGTTCACAAGGATTTTACTGTAAAGTAAAACCACATATTTGTAGGCAAATATGTGGTTCGCCCACAAATATCAGATATTTAAATTTACAATGAATATTCTGTGAAGTTTTTCGAGACATTCTCCTGGTGTGAAATGTACGAATTATTATTATTATTATTTGAGAAATATCACAAGGACAGAATGTGCAGTGGTTTTTGCTTGTACTTAATGACACAAATGTTCTTAGTTCAATGCAATGCTGGAGGGAGCCCTGCCAAGTTAGAGGTGTGGCATTTGATGAGATATTAAACAGAAGTCGTGTCTGCCTGTTCAAGTGGATGTTAGAGATCCCATGGCACTGTTCAAAAAGTGTCCTGGCCAACAAACTCCCCAGATAAAAAAAAATCATTCACTTGCTGGTGGTTTGCGGAACATTGCTGTGCACAAACTGACTGCTGTATTGCTGTACACAGTCACTACATAGTAAGATTCTGTGAAACGTTTCAGTGATATTGTGAGGCGCTATATCAAATAAAATTGTTATTATTATTTCCCCTCAAAATACGTCTATAAGGTCTCTTCTGTGAAGACGCTTTTCAAGGCTAAAGAGCCCTCATTTATAATAATAATAATCTTTACATTTGGTATAGTACCTTTCACATTGGGACCTTAAATTGGTGCACAAGCCAGACTAAGCCTAAAACAACCTGTTGGGGAACCAAGAAAGTGGTGTAACAGGACTTTGTGGACACCCTGTCCAGGGTAAGGGGGTCTGAAAAGCGATGGCAAAGATATATAGGCTCTTCAAAAAGGTTTTGCCATCCAAAGACATGGGACTGAAAAAAAAGGCCAGGGATCAAACTTGACAGAGGGCATTATTTTCTAGAAATATGGGAGATTAAACTCAACAATGAAAAGCAATTTGCTCCCAAGTCCCTCCTTTTCAAACCCAATCCATCTCAAGGTTTGCAAAGGTGAAATCCAAAGTGAGCTTGGGTTCCCATGTGAGTGCAAGGGACTGAGATAAGCTGAAGACAAATTTACCAACAGCAGTAAGTGTTAAAGTACAAGATACAAACTGGGTCTCATCCAGATTCCTTCAGATCAAACTCAAACAGATGAATTCCTGAGAAGATATGGTTCACTAAATGAGAACTGGGACCTGTATATCCAACTCTAAACGCCCTGCATTCTTGCAATGAGATTCACAATGCTGCTGAAACAACAATATCCTTAGGCTTCACTGGCTCCCCAACCCCCAGAGGATCTAATTCAAGATCCTTATCCTCACCTTTAAAGCCCTCCACAGTCTTGCTCTTCCCTACCTCTGCGACCTAATAAAAATTTCACCAACCTGTCCACTCCCTCTGCTCTGCTCTACTCCATGCGCCACGGCCCTGCTCTACTAGCTCCACCAGCTGCGAGAAGAGTTTTGAGGCGTCCTTTCAAATTGAGAGGAGCTTCAACAGATGTAATGATTGTTATGTTCTTTAAATCCTGTGTGACTCTTTGAGACATCCTCCCGATTTGATCGGTGCTATATAAATAATAATCATCCTTGCATTTGATTAGCACTTTATCATGTTGATGAGATGTCTTAAAGCGCTTCACAGAATATACTGTATATATTTTAGTGCGAAAGACAGCAGCCAATTGCGCACAGCTGTGTCCCACAAACAATTGTGGATTAAGTGACCAATTATTTATTTATTCGAAGCGATTATTACCCCCGGAAGGCAATCTGCCAATTGACTAATACCAAGTTCCTACTTACTGCTTGGTAAACAGAACCGTGTGGAGTAAGCAAACTTGCCTAAGGTTTCGCCCTGCCCTGGGAATCGAACCCGGGTCCTCTCGCTTGTGAGATGAGTGCTCTAACCAATATGCCACAGGACTCCACAACTATATTATTTCATATTACATTGTATAATTTACATGAAATCACATTCTCTCAACGAAGTGATTTTTTTTGCGAACTGAATATACATGTTTCACATAATAGAGCGCTGTGACATTTAATATGCTTATTTTGCCTTCCAAGCTGTAATAACCGACATAAATTAAACCAGCAATCTTCAAAGACTAAAGACCTGGATCTTGTCCCAAATGCCTTTCCAGAGCACAAACGGTACTGTGACAAAAGGCTGTTCTTTCACACGTTGGAATCCGGGTCCATATCAAAGCTGTTTTCAACCACCCCAGAAAAAATACACCCTCTTGTTTTACTAATGCAATTGGTGTCCGTATCACATGCAAGTTTCAATCCCATGTTAATCAGCAACTGTGTGAGGAAATGAGATGAAGAAACCTGAAGCCAAGAGTTCTTCTGTGTGCAGTGCGAGGGCCATTCTAACACACTCCATTGTAGTGTTAAGCTCTCCGAGACCCCGTATGACATAAAGGGCGTGATATAAATGCAAGTTGTTGTTGCTTGTAGCATGAAATTGGTCACAACAACTTTGCTCTGTGGACAGCATACTTGCACACAATTGGGCTGACTTTGTGCTAAAATGACTAACTTCTTGTTCATCAAGTCACTGTAACTTTTACATTGAATCAATGCTAACAAATGCTTGGGCGCTATATCAAATGCAAGGGTTATTATTAGCATCGGTGGTGAGAAAATATCACAAAAGGCCTTTGCTTGAAGCTGCATCAATACTCACTGTAAAGAATTGTTCCTGTGGAAGCGGAGGTTTTTACTGTGAGGTAAAGAGTCACAGTAGCTCCTGCCTCTGATCCAGGATTGAAGGCTGCATCTCTCCTCAGTACATCTGTGAGGGACGGGAGCTCCAGGTAAGCATTCCCGTTGAACAATGGGAAAAACAGCGTGACATCTGAAAAGATAAAATGGGTAAAAAAAAATGAGGCATTGTCAGGACAACATGTGTTTGTTTTATGCTGTTGGGTTTGTTTAATGCATGTTGTAACCCTTTACTGAATAAATCAAACTAAGAATAAAGAAACTTATTAACACACCTGAGCTTCGGATTGAGAATCATTACAACTGGGTCATCAGTTAGGCTGCAAGTTGGAGGAAGGATATACATTACAGTATAAACTTACAGTATTTCCTGAAGTGCATTGAGATGTCTCGACGACATGACAAGGCACGATATCAAATGCCATGGTTAATATTGCTGGTAGAAGTATTGTGTTTCTATTATGGGAAGGGTATCATAGAGAACGAGTGGGCGCTGCACAGATTCACTTGGATGATGCTATACTGGGTAATGTAGCCTTATTATATTCGCCTGCAAAACATGCGGTCACTACATTTTACAGTAAATAATAATAATAATCCTTGCATTTGATATAACGCCTTATCACATCCTCGAGACGTCTCAAAGCGCCTCACAGAATATACTGTATATTTTGTGAAGCACTTTTGAGACATCCACCGAATTGAAAGACACTGTATCAAATTTACAGCTCTTTGCTAAAATTCGCTTTTAACACAGCTGCACAATAGATCCACATTCACTGGCCCTAAAAGGCCAATATCTGGGTAATTAGTCTTGATGTAAGTGATATCAGTGGCTACATATTTAGCCATAAGTCAGCCATTATAGCTTCCTGAAAGTGTTTCACAGAATATACTACAAAGTGGAGTGACTGTATATTTTGTGGGCGAAACAGTAAGTAGATAAATACCTGAAAGGAATAAACTACATGGGTAAGGGGCAGGTAAATGGGACTGAAAGGATTGCTCTTTAAAGACCCAGCACAATGGGTCGAAAAGTCTTCTTCTGTATTGTAAATTTCTACATTTCTATGGTACACCAATTTGAAAATACAGTCAATGCATTTTACAGTAATTCCTGTGAAGCTCTTTGAGACATTTCCACTGCACGATAAGGCACTATGTCAAATGGAAGGATTTTTAAAATTACTTTTATTAAGCTCCTTTTCGGTGTAAATTTCAATAAGAACAGTGTGGTAATCTAAAACACACTGCAAATGTAAACGTGGGTAGCAAATCTCATCTGAAGGCAAGACATACATGGAATCAATGAGGGTATTTAAATTCATTTACCTTTCAATAAAGTATAACGTGGAAGAAAGTATGATGACTTGTAAGGGTGACATACAAAGGGAAATGAAAGAAAAGGCAGTGAAATTGCTGGATAACAGGTGAAAGTGGATTATTGGATTAACTCAAAGGTCAAACCAATTCAAATGCTAATACCTATCCACTGTCAGTTGCTCACAGAGCTAATCTGTTGGTTACCGAATGCCTTTCAGAGCTGATGTTTTCCTTCGCATTAATAATTTATATTAATTATAATAATCCTTTATTTAATACAGCGCCTTATCATATCTTCAAGACGTCTCAAAGCGCTTCACAGAATATACTGTTAAGTGAATTGACTGTGTATTTTGTGGGTAAAACGCGGCAGTCAATTATGCACAGTAGTGTCCCACAAACAGCTATAGATTGAACAACCTCCCGACGTGAAAGACACTGTATAAATGCAGATTGTCTTGTACTGTAATAATAATTATCCTCACATTTGACATAGCGGCTTATCACATCATTGAGGCATCTCAAAGCGCTTAACAGAACATACTGTGAAGTGGATTGACTGTATATTTTGTAGGCGAAATTGCCCTGCATTGTATCAGACTGTACAATGGGATGTGACTGTGTTGAGTAGCGTGCAGAACACAAAGCAACTTTTCCTTTTCGAGCGTCAATCATTTCCTCTCTCTGACCTTCAGCCGCGACGACCTTGTAGCTCCATGTGGCCTCACTCATTCACTCACTCATTCAGTCGCTCGCGCTCTCATAGGGCTGAAAGTTTTAAATGATTTATGCCCCAGGCAGCCGAGAGAAAGAGAGAGAGAGAGGATAGTGGAGGTGGTGGTGGTGTGGGGGGAGGAGGAAGAAAGAAATAACTATGGTCCTCTCTGGAAGCCATTCTTTTAATCAAACACATCTCATAAATCAAATTTAGAACTCTTAGAGCTCAATCAATAGGGTGTTTTACGGTCTCCAACAAAATCATCTGGAAAAGGGCCACAAAAATAATATAGTAAAGGGAGAACCTTACATCCACTGCACACATGCACACACACACATACGTACGTAGGCCAAGAGTCCTAGTGAGCCCCTGGGATTCACTCTGTCTTGTTTAACAATGAGCCATTCGTCCCTTAGGACAGCAATACAGTTATAAAGGTTGCTAATGAAACATTTCAGGATGTGGTGAGATCGATGCAGTCTGGGGCAATGGCTATGGCAGTTTCCCGACCTGTTTTCATCCCAAACAATTCCCACTTTCTTTTCATTTCGGCCTCTATACGGCAATCGACTTTCAACCATTCTGCCCTCGCCCTCAGGCACTCCCTCTCGGAGTCCCACTGACTCGCTTGTTCAATAGCTCCCTTCGTTGAAGATCCATCTTCAAACAATACGATTTGACCATGATTTTGGTCATCTCTCCCTTCTCCTCCCCTCCCACCTCCAACTGAGGTGCTCAGCCAGTGTTTGGAGACATCCCCAACAATTCCCACTTTTTTTCATTCCCAGCAGCTGATCGGAAGGAACGCTTAAAGATGGCAAACAGGGTCAGAATGTCCGACTATGTGGTAATTCTCTGGTGATAATATCACGGATAATACCACTGGTGCCCGTACAGCTCCGTTCAGCAGTCGACTCGAGCAAACTGGGACGGGCGGTATTGAGTCTGTCCGCTCGGCTCGCTGATGGTTTGGTTTCTAATCTACGCCGTTCGCTGCTGCTGAAATCTGGAGAGATCGCTCACTTCAGCCCCATCGGCCTGCCGGAGCCCTGAGATCCATGTCTACTGTATGCTTGGGTGCAAAACATGACATTCTGTGTGATAAATATCACATCATCGGGCATTCTGGCCCTGTTTAGCCTGCTTTCAGCAGTCTGAGATACCACCCCGTGTGAAGGGCACTATACAAATACAAGTTGTTGTCATTGTTTTTCATGTCCACCACCCTACCCACCGCACTATCAGCAGTTGGGCTTTCAGCCTATCTGCCCCCACACTCTGGAATTCAATCCTGAAGTCCCTCTGACTCGCTTCCTCACCTCATTCAAGGTCTGTCTTTGACAGAGCTTTCGATCATCTTTCTCCTTCCCATTCCCCTTGGTTCCCATCCCTATCTCAGGGTTGTTAACCACCTTGGGACATCCTCCAAAGATGAAAGGCAATGTATAAATGTAAAATTTTTACAGGTGAACCTTCTTATCTCCAGACCAATTATAAGTCTAACTTTCTAGTTAGACTAGTATATGCCACCTTCTCTTTCTGGGGTGCAGTTCCACGAGCTCTGGTTGCCCTCACCCAAGTGACTGTTCAAGGGTAATTCTCGGCAGTGAGTGTCGCCGGGTCACTCGACTGTAGAAGCCATCACAGCCAAACCTGACCTCTCCACACCTGCTGCCACACACCTGCATAAGCAGTAGAGGGTGTTCCGGAGGGATGAGGAGCTAGTTCACTAGCTTTACCCTCTCTATCCTTGGGATTGTCAGGGCTCATCTAGCCTCCCAAAGCAGCCCTGGTTAAGACAAGCAAGCTCAGACCATAGGCTTTGACTAGTTAGACCCCAGTAGTAGGCAGTACACACTCTGAAGTCACCGAGCTTTGGGTCTTGCCAAACTGTGCTAAATATTCCAAGATTCAGAGATATTTCGTCCATCTCTCCTTATCCATGACTCCTACCCCCTACCCCTACCTCCTACCCTGGCCTCCACCCTTTCTGATCCCAAACCCCTCCTTGGGTGAAGATCCTTAACTCTCCAAGTGCCTTAGGACATCCTCCCGACGTGAAAAGCGCTGTACAAATGTCAAGTGCTGTTTGTTGTTGTTGTTGTTGTCATGGGCATGGATGGGCATCAGACGCAGAAGCTTGGGGACAAGGCAGAGTTTGTACCCTCGAGCAGTTAAATGTTTGTGGAGTTCTGAATGCATTCGCCATTGTGACAGCCTGGATTGCCTTGGCTCTATCACACTGAGGTCTGAACTGGTTGTATGCGCGGGGAAAAGTCTGTAAACAGGTTCAGCATTACGTAGCGTCGCTCAGGGGGCATATTTTAATGGATAATACCCGGCACTGATAGCTGAGCTGGGAGAGGGCAGCGCTGAGAAGAATTTGGGAGAGAGAAAATAATAAAGAGCACTTCAAAGTCGAACATCTTGCTGCAGGGGCCAGTCCAGAGCCAAATAAATATTGATGTTGATGTTTTCACTCAAAAGGCATATTAGAGGCTCTGCTCTTGATGAGATACTCCCTGATTGAAGGCTGTTTTACAAGCCCTGATGGAACACAAATGGTTTAACCCTTCTGGGCCTGGGTGGGAGGGAGAACGAGGAGGAGAGAAGTTGAATCAATGTCTCGTGATGGTTGTGGAAATTAAAGCAAAATGTTCTCAGACTAATGCACACGTACACGGGAAATCAAAGCCAAATATTCTCAGACTAAGGCACCCATACATGCCTTAAATGTGTTGCTCAACCCCCATTTTATTTTAAATAGATTTTTTTTAAAATGTAACTTGCAATTGCTGGCATGATTTCCTACTGATTTGTTTTGCTTGCTATTAGTTTGCTTTCTGGGCTTGATCAGCCAAAAGGAGCAGAAAACACGGCTGAACTTCAAGGACGTCATTCTCATCTATGAATCCTTTCACTTCCCCACCTCTCTGATCTTCTCCCACCCCCAGTCATCTGGAACTTCCTCCCTCTACCATCCATCTCTCTCCACCCCACCAGCCTCACCCATCTGTCTTCGATCATTCCTAGGTCACCTCCCCCTTTTCCAATTCTCCCTTGCCCAATGCAGCTGAAAATCCTCATCCACGCTTTTGTCCCACTCCTGCTTTGATTTCTCCAAAGCACTCCTCGCTGGTCTCCCCAGCTCCGTTGTTCACAAAATCCAAACTTATTTAGCCTTGGCCCCTCCATCATCAGTTGCTGTGCTTTCAGTAAGCCCCAAATCTCTGGAACTCCCTATCTCAATCCCTCCACCTTGCCCCCTTCCTTGTCCATCTTCAGATTACACCTGTTCGAACACCTTCCTCTTTGACCATGTCTACAAACGCCTCCCCAATCTCCCCTGCTCAGTGTCGAGCTCCGCCGATGTTAAGCGCTCAGAGTCTCCACCCTGCGTAAAAGGTGCTTTATAAATGGAAGTTGTTGTTTCTTGGCATCCGTCTCTATGAAGGACATTGTATAATACAAGGCTTGGGGTCCCCAGAGTCTGTGTTTGGGTGCACTGCTGGCGTTTAACCTTGAGAGTTTTGAGAGTGGATTTAAGCTTGGGACCTTGTCTGTGTAATAAAAGGTTCTCGCTCACTGCACCACCCAGCACCCTGACCACCATCCACCTATAAGTACTTTGGCAATCATTAAATAGCAGATATTATCTCAAGGCAATGAGCCCAGCTTTCATTATGAGGGTCTCAATTAGAAACACAATCCCTCTTTTTTTAAGGCTGGTCTATCTTGCATCCCTAACTTTGTTAAAGTTAAATTTAATGCAATGTGGTGGGAGCTTCAACACTGAGCTGGCCTCATTATAACCTGGGAAAACTGCTCAGCTCCCGAGGACACACTCTCTCTCTCTATAATGAGCGTGAACAGCATCTGGGAAGGTATTTGCTGCCTTAAATCTGCCCTGATGATATCTGCATTACAGCGCGCTGTTCCCAAAGCAATGCAATCCTCCGTAGCCAGCCTTGCGGCTCGAAGCTAGGTGGTCGAGTGGGAACGCTCATTACGACAGTTCAAGTCATCCATGACGCATGCAAATACACACAATCTGTCACAGCAGTGAAGCAGGCAGTGAGCGAGCGAGCAAACTTATTGTCTTTGTTCTGCACGGTACATAATGAATCTCCTCGGGATTATTTAATAACTTATCTACCTTATTAAGGGACCTCTCTTGGGAGGAAATAAAGGGGAGGGGGTGGGGGGGTGCGGCAGGTAGGGGTAAGGCTAGTAAAAATAGAAGACCGGCTCCTCTCCAGTAATTGCCTGGGGAGATGTATAATAGTGCTGAGTATGGCTTAATGACCAGTAAATTAGCAGCAGCAGCAGGGAGCTGAGCATGTGGCTGTGGTGGGAAATAAAGGCAATTAGCTGCCAATTTGTCTCCCTGCAAAGACTGGTGCAAGGCTCTCGTTCCGCCTGCCAGAGCCTTTTGAGCTTTGGGCAATAAGGAGCAGAGGATAAGGTCAAGGCTGCAAGAAATAGTCAGCTCCCTCACCAGCAAAGCCTAGGAGAGAGCAAGACAGCCAACAATCACATTCCCCCCACTCCTCCTCCTGACTTCAGTGTATTGATTGTTCCTGATCTGCAATCCTCCAGTTGCCTACCGCTGATCATGTGCTGATCAGATTGGCCACTCCTCAATATTGACTGAGTGAAAGATAATAGCTCTACCCACCAATACATGGAGATTCCTCAGAATAAATTATTGGAATGGGGATGAACATTCTCTCCCTGGAGGGACGCATTCCTGCTTACCTAATTCTGGAAAGTATTAGGCGCAGGTTGGCAAGAGTCAAGGCTTGGGGAACCCAGAGTGTGTGTTGGGGTAACTGCTGGAGTCTAACCAGCTAAAACTACATAGCTAGCCATTCAGAGCACTGCTCAGCAAGTTTTCCTGCTACTTGTCCAACTAGGACAAGCAGCAGAAAAGCTTATTGTGTACAGCCATTCACATTCTGAGGACGTCTTAAAGTGCTTCACAAGAATAAACTGAGAAGTGGAATCTGTGTACCTTATCAAGCAAATTGCCTCTATTTATTAGGAAGAAAGATTTATGCATGTGTGTGTGTGTGGGGGGGGAGACGACTGGCAAAAATGCGATGTGTGTAATGGTACTTATCACACGTAAATAAAATGTGTTAAAAATCTTGTCCTTAAATCTTGTCCTTGTGACAAATTTTGGACTGACCCTATCTTTCCCCTTCCCCCCCCAACACACGCATACTCCCACATACGTCAAAATAGCTTCACCCAGACATAGATTCCTTATCAATGCCTATGTTGTTTAGGTTCAGAGACATAGTTGCCTTTATTCCTGGCCACAGGCTTATTCTGTGTTTTTTACGGATTACCACTATTCGTATTTTTTCAGTCTCAACTTTATCAAAGAGTCACTGGTTCACATTACAACATACCTACCTGTCATTATAATATTATTACTACTGCTACTGCTAATAATAACAATAATGAGCTTACATTTTAGAACAGAACAAGTTGCAGCAATCAGTGCATTTGCTATGTTGCCTTTCAAGTCAGGAGGACATCTCAAAGTGCTTCACAGGATATTCTGTAAGGTTCATTGACTGTGGTTCTGGCAGCCAGTTGCGAATGTTTGGATCAGTTATGAACAGGTATGGAATTTTATCTGGGGTATTTTTGTCTAGGACCATTGTAGTTTGATTAGATTTGATTGAAACTCTATCCTGAAGTCCCTCCGACTGGGCTCCTTCCTCCCATCGTTCAAGGTCCATCTCAAGTCCTACCTTTTCGACCGCGCTTTCAGGCAGCTTTCCTCTCCCCATCCCACTCAGCGCCCACCCTTATCTTGGGTGGTCAGGAATTCTATTAAGCACTTTGCAACATGCTTTTTTTTACATCAACTGACTGACTCGTTTCGCCCACAAAATACACAGTCAATCGACTTTGTAATATATTCTGTGAAGCGCTTTGAGACGACTCAAGAAAATGATAAGGCACTCTATCAAATGCCAGGGTTATTGTTAATTATTCTTATTATTATTACCCTCCCGATGTGAAAGGCTCTGCGTGAATGTCAACTGTATATTATAGTATTACCTTCTTCACAGAAATGTCCAGTGAAATGCAGAGTGCAGTCACACTGGAATGAGGTGGTGCCGCCGGCCAAGAGGACATCATGACAAGTGCCACCATTCTGGCACAAGGCTGCCTGGCAGTGGAGGGTTTCCGGAGATGTGGGCTGCATTGGCAATGCTGGCAGGCGAGAGGATGGGAGGGTTGGAAACACAGACGAGATGGCGTTGTCTGGAATGGCCTCAGGAAATCTACAAGAGAACACAGGTTTGCAACAACTGTCAACACCATCAGTAGGGAAGCATAAACAAGCTGTTCCCACTGGTTGGAGAGTCCATAACACAAGTATACGATAGAGACGAGAGCAGTGGTGGCCAACCAGTGGTCCGAGGGGCTGTCAAGACTATGAGTTTGAAGTCTCAAAACACTTCAAACCTTGGCTGGCTCCCTATATCTGAAAAGATTGACTTCAAGATCCTTACCTCATACAAATCCCTTCACACTCCTCTGCCCACCTGCCCAATTTGCTCAACTCGCAACCAACCTGCTGTGAAAGTTCCGACCCCTCTACAACCAACACTGCTGTGGCCGTGTCTTCAGTCACTACACCCCTAAAACTTTCAAAAGTTTATTTTTAAAAGGCTGCCGCGTTTCGCCCACAAAATATACAGTCAATTCACTTTACAGTATATCCTGTGAAGCACTTTGAGACGTCTCAATGAGCTAATAAGGTGCTATAGTATAATCTGGCATTTGACGTTGTATCTTATTGCGTCAGGAGGACATCTCAAAGCGGTTCACAGGATTTTTTTTACTGTAAAGTGTAGTGATTGTTTATTTTTTAGGCAACACTACGCTTTACAGTAAACAAAAATCTTGTAAAGCACTTTGAGACATCCCCCAAAGTGAAAGGCACTATATCAAATGCCAGGTTTATTATTTATTAACTATTATTAGAAGTCAAGCGAACTACAAGGGAAGACTGAGAGAGAGAGCAAGAGGGAGAGAGATCTGAGGAAATACAATGAAAAAATAGAGTTATAGGAGGAAACTGAAATAAAATTACATGGTTAATTTAAATGATCCACTCAATCATTTCGCCCACAAAATATACAGTCAATTCACTTTACAGTATATCCTGTGAAGCACTTTGAGACGTCTCAATGAGCTGATAAGGTGCTATATAAAATGCAAGAATTATTATTGTTGTTATTTAGAACACCCTGCCTAAAACCCTCTGTCTTGCCCCCTCTTTATCTATCTTTAAATCCCACTTGAAGACCTATCTCATTGACCCTGGCTATGGTCATCTCCACTTGCCCCTTCTCCTGAGTGCTGAATCTTGCTCCAAGACATTATCCTGTATGAATGGCCCTAAATGAATGCAAGTTACTGTCTGACTCAGAGGCAAGAGTAACACCGACTGAACCAGTCTAACACCTAATGCAAGCCTTGGCTTTTGCCCATAGTTCAGTAACTGCCACTGGGACTCTATTCTGAGCAAAAAAAATAACAAAAGGTCAAAAGTTATGTTGACATTCTCTGCCACTGAAGAACAGAGTCTGGCTGGAACTGATATAAATCTCCCCCTCCCAACCCTCAGACTCCAGAGATCTGACAACATCATCAGCAGATTAAACAGGAGCAACTGAGGTGTAAGTTTGTGTTTGTGTGTATGAAGCAACCGGCAGTGGTCAATGGAAGTGTTGTTCACCATGTTCACAGCACTGTGCACGTGTAGATCTGTCAGCCAGACTGTGTGCACTACATAATAAATAATAATAATCCTTGTATTTCATATAGTGCCTTATCACGTCTTCGAGATGTCTCAAAGCACTTCACAAAATATACCGTAAAGTGAATTGACTGTATATTTGCAGCTGAAATGCAAAATTAATGTTAAAAATTAAAATGAAAAATGAACTAGTCAAACAGGATACCAGCTAAAGTGACTGAGCCCAGGGCACAGGACTTATTTAAAAACATTCAGACCCTGTGATGGGAGGATAATGGGGTGATCATTCTGAAACGATTATAAGAGCCACAAAGGGTTCCCTGCCATATTTTCTCTATCCTCCCAAAACAGAGATCCATTTAGCTAGTTATCACATGCAGATGCCCCACAAGACTGCCAAGGAAATGAGACACCAGCATTGCACATGCCCTTCACCGCCCCAAAAAAGGAACAGTGCTGAAAGACACCGTTGTGAAATGACAGGGGAATTAGCAACACTAATAATTATTGGGTAACAGCCTCCAGAGTTGTTGTGAGTGCTCTGGGATGCCACCCGGCATGGAGGGCTCTATATAAATGCAAGTTGTTGTTGTAAGGTATAAAGTTTGCAGTGTTTGGTAACGCATCCCTTGTGCTAATTTAGCTGTAGCGCAACCAGATTATTACTATTATAATAATAATTATTATTATTGAAAAAATTATATCTTGAAAAAAACCTTCCCTGGATCCATCTCCAGCTACTGCCCCATCTCTAACCACCCATTTTTCTCCAAGGTCCTGGAATGAGTCGTCGCGTCCCAGCTCCACTCCTTTCTTTCTTGCCATTCTCTCTTTGAATCCCTCCAATCCGGCTTCCGTGCTGCCATAGCACGGAAACAGCCCTGGTCAAAGCCACTAATGACATTCTGAACATCTATGATCAGGGCTCCCTCTGCCTCCTTGTCCTCCTCAACCTCTCTGCCGCCTTCGACACTGTCGACTACTCCATCCTCATACTGCCTCTCCACTTTACTCAATCTTCACGAACCTGCCCTTGCCTGGTTCAATTCCTATCTCTCTCACCATCTCCACTTTGTTGCCTCTAATGGTTTCTCCTCCAGCTCCCGCACTGTCACATCTGGCGTCCCTCAGGGCTCTGTTCTTGGCCGTCTCCTCTTTAATATCTATATGCTCCCCCTTTGGTGACATCATCCGCAGACATGGGGTCAACTTCCATATGTATGCGGATGACACCCAACTCTATCTTTCTGCCTTCACCCTCAACTCCAGGACCACTGCTGTCCTGACAGACTGCCTGTTGGACATCAAGTCCTGGATGAGGGCAAATTTCCTACAGTTGAATGTGAACAAGACTGAAGTCCTCCTGATTGGCTCGCGCCAACGCCTCAGCACCTTAGCTCTGCCAGCATCAACCCCCATGGTTGCACACTACAATTCACCAAGTCAGTCAGGAACCTAGGGGTATTGTTCGACCCTCAACTGTCTTTTCTCCCCCACATTCAAGCCATGACTTGCTCTGCCTTCCCTCACCTCCGTAACATTGCCTGACTCCGCCACTACCTCACCCCTCAGGCCGCTCTTGTTCATGCCTTCATCACCTCCAGGCTCGACTATGCAAACGCCCTGTTTGTCGGCCTTCCCAACTCCTCCCTCCACAGGCTGCAGATAATCCAGAACTCTGCAGCCCGTGTCCTCTACCCCACCAAACTCCGTGACCCCATCTCCCCCATTCTCGCCCGACTCCATTGGCTCCTTCAGAGGATCCAGTTCAAGATCCTGGTCCTCACATACAAAGCCCTTCATGGCCTCGCCCCACCCTACCTCTGCAACCTCCTAATAATAATAATAATTGTTGCATTTGATATAGCGCTTTTTAAGTCGGGAGGACGTCCTAACCCCCTACCAACCCACACGTTCCCTCGGCTCAGCCGGCTCCGGCCTGCTGCACGTCCTCTGACCCACCCACCCCACCATTGGCGGGAGAGCCTTCAGCCACTCTAACCCTAACCTCTGGAATTCCATCCCCCAGTCACTCTGCCTCGTCCCCCTCCTTAGCCTCCTTCAAAGTGCTGCCTCAAGACCCTCCTCTTTGACCAAGCCATCGGTCAACCCCCTTCTCCTCTCCTCCCTTCTCCCACCCCTGACCCCAGCTCAGGTCTGAAATGCTGGACTCTGTCCAGCGCTTTGGGACGTCCTCCCGATGTGTACGACATTATACAAATGTAATCGTGTTGTTGTAATAATAATCCTTACATTTGATATAGCACTTATCATTGAGGCATCTCAAAGCGCTTCACGGAATATACTGTAAAATGGATTCTCTGTGTATTTTGTGGAGGAAATGCAGCAGCCAATTTGGGGGATTTATCACCCCCGGAAAGCGATCTGCCAATCGACTAACAATCGCCAATCGCCAATCGTTCCTACTTACTGCTGGGTAAACAGAGAGTGTGTGGAGTAAGGAAATTATCCTAAGCTTCGCTCCTGCCTGGGATTCGAATCTGGGATATCTCATTTGCGAGGCGCGTGCTCTAACCACTATTCTACAGGAATAGTGTCCTGGGCAGAAGGAAGCACATAACATAATATAACATGTAGGAGCAGGAGTAGGTCACTCGGCCCTTCGAGCCTGCCCTGCCATTCAATCATGGCTGATCTTCTAATCTAACTCCAGCTAATACCATAACCCTGTCTTGTCCCCATATCCCTTAATCCCTTTTGCAACCCATGTGGCAGTGTGTTGGGAAGTTCTAGTATGCTCTGTGGTCTTCTGCTAATATTCTGCTAAATCAACCAGAATCGTCAGAGACACTTGACGATTGGTTATTGCCAACATCGACCACCTCGATCGTCTTTCACTTCATAAATAATAATTCACACATAGAATTCAAAAATAAACTCCACATGATATTGAATGCAAAAATAATTAATTATTATTGCTCAGTGAGGAGTCACAGTGTACACAGGGCCAGGGTTATAAACTACAAGTGACATAATGTCCTTCGACAGAGCTGAGACAGGGATTGAATAGTAGCAGCAAGGCAAATGATGGCTGCCTCTTATGAAACTCCACACTATATTGAATGCAAACATTAATATTATATCTGCTGGCCCCGAGGCTCGTTGTCACCGCAGAAATGAAGGAAATCAACTTATCTCAGTCATTTTCCTCTTCCCCAGCCTGACATTTCTTTCGGCATTAAAATAAAACATTACAATTGGGTCTCTGCCAATGAGAGCACCATCTGGTAAGCTTCCTGCTGCGTGTCCAGTTGGGAACACCCAACATGTTAAGCCGTTGGCTTGCAGAGCGGGACAAATTCCTGCCTCCAGTGATGTGTCTACCCCTCCAAGTCCTGCTGACGAGCCAGGCTGGCTGGTCTGTCATCAGCAGTGCCCTGAAGTACAGCGGACCCTCTACTGCTGTTGACAAAGCTTGAGGACAGCCTGCAAACTGAGTAGTCCAGGCTTTGGGTACTATTTGAATAAAAATCTGCGGTGCGGTGAATCCTACAT